TTACCTCCACTCTCCATATCTGAAGTCCTGGTGTGGTTTTGTTGAGGACTTTGGGAACATCGGTCTTGACATCCTGTGGCATGGTGCCAGCTTAAGTCGCAGGGAAATACCTGGAAGAGAAAAAGAGAGAGGGTTGGATAGAAATTACTTGAATTCAAAGATCCGGATTGTTTTCTTAGAATTACAAATCATACATATCCTGTGTATGAACTACTCATAAATGTGTTTGTGCATCTAATGTTCCTTTCCAGTTCACAACCACAAGCAAATAAATGTTCTTATAGCTGTTTACGGACCCCATTTTCTTTTATCTACACTTTATCCTTCATGTGACCTTACCGTATAACAAGGAAAAATAGTAAAAGTTAATGTTCCGTCATTATTTACTCACCTTCATGTCATCCTAAAACTATTGGCAGTTATTTTTTCCCCTAAACATGCCGTATTTGATATTACAGTACTTAGACTTGGAATAAAAAGGAAGATTTTCATTGAATAATTACTTTTTGATAATAATGAAATCTGTTCATCCCATGAAGCTATAATATGGCTTCAGAAGACTTGTGTTTTTGGACTGTTTTTGGTCACTATAAATTGTAAAACTGAGCAGCTTGAAACTGCATTAACTGTTCCTTTAATATATTGTTTAATGATTTCTTTCCTGTTAGGCTTCCTCAGTGTCGTTCAAAGGCAAAAGAGGGTGCGGCCTAAATTGGAATCAGTGCAATTCAGTTCATGCATTAGTAAACCCAGACACTAAAGCTACAGTTTGAACTCTTATGAAAGAAAGCTAGTTAGCTACCCCAGGGAAAGGAAGTGAAAGCCTCATGTCAGATATCTGTTGCAAATCTGTAGTAAAAATACTACGCCTCCATATCCACAGCAGTTATCATTAAGTGTGGCTGAGATGTCAGGGCGTGATCAAGCCCCACAGTCCTTCACTTTATCTACTGCACTGAGCACATAGTTCAAACCACAAATAATTGTTTCCTTAACTAGCATGTCTGTCTTATTTTCTGTATAAACATCCCTAAAACATGATAAACTTGAGAGGATAATCAGGTAATATGACATTTCAGAATGCTTCAGTGTTTTTACTTATGAAGTTTATTTTGATTATTCTCTAGTCCCTTTTAGACTTTTCTAAAAGGGACTTTTCTTTCGTTATTTCTTCCTTTTTCTATATTTAGAATTGTTTAGTTAGATTTATGCGTTAAATCTGCAAGGACAAAAGCTAAGTTCAAGATATATTCTAGTTATATAAAATGTGCTTAATTGTTATGAAAATAATATCAAAATGTAAACATCTTCCTAAAATAAGCTTAATTTGCTTTATGCAGAATATTTGTTTTTAATTGCCAATTCGTGATATAATCTCTGAAAACAATCATCAATATCTCATGCAAGTTTGGTTCTGAAATGATTAGATCTTGTTTAATGGATGTTTAAATATTTTTCTGAAAACAAAGACAAAACTTTTTTTTTTTTTTTTTTCATGAACTAACTTGATTAGATAATAACTTGATTAGATACATTTAATCAGTACAGATTTAATTAAATAATTTAACCTTAACTTTTATTGCATTACTGATCCACTTTTATTATTTATTATATTAATATTCTCTACATTTGCTCATGTAACTGACCATTATGTTTTAAAGGAAGTTGTACATGGTTTATGATAGTCAGGGTATAAAATAGTTTAGGGTATAAAAATGTGACTATATTGCGTTTGCTTTGTCTTTGTTGTGTGCAAACCACCCATCTGTTTAAATATGCTGCAAACTATGTGGCTAGCGAGGAATAGTGTCTGTGTTTCAAAACCATGACTTCTACCAACCATATCCTCTCTATCCTCACGTCCACATCCTGGTTACACTGATTTAAGAAACTTGCCATTGCTTGGTTACTATCATCCATCTGTGGTGTTGTTTTTAGCAAATTAAGCAGGAAGCTACTATCAAATCATGTGGACTCATCGCACCTGATAATAGCTTTTACATGGAATGTTATGCTAATGACATCTTTCAGTCAATGTGACATGTATTCATCCTTACAGTGTCAGTTTTGACAGTCATTATAAAAACATTTATTCTGTTTCTTCTCACATCAAAATAATTTCACTAAAATCAATTTATTTACAAGTAACCAAGCAAAATGTCAGATCATGTACAGCGAGCCGGTCATTATCAACAAATAATATACACTCATACAATATACACACCCTATATATATCTACACACGCCCTAGAGGATAATTTTTTGTTTGCATATCCCAAATTTATGAGCCTCCTTATCAACATCTTTTTATATTTGCCTGGTACCTTGCAGCATAGATGGTGTGATAATACAGATGACTCAATCTCTCTTGTTTTTGATTGGATAGTTGGGTTTTATTAGGGGGTTGTATCGAGCAGATTGTGCTAACCCTTAAATCACCAATCACAAACCCTCTGCCCTGTGCAAAGGTTCATATTTCCTAACTAAATCCTAGAAGATACGTTGTTAGTGCAATAATGTCTGAACGGCTCCACTCTGCTGTTACAGTAGCAATGACAAATCACAAATGATCTGCCCTCCAGAATTACTAGATGCGGTGTGTCAGAGCAAACAGGAAAGTGTGCAGAGTTTTTATGTAACCGCCCGGAGTTTGATCAGGCCTGACAGTGCTGTGTACATGTCTCATCTCCATCCTCCTTCCCTATAACCTTGATTAATATTCTTCCTGTAAACTGCCCATCAAATCCTTGTTTCAGACCAAAGCATATGAGCACATCAGATTATGCAATGCATAGTTATAATATACAATGTAATATAGAAAAATAGCATGTTGTCAAGTTATTCAAATATAAAGCCACTATGTTAAAGGGATGTTTTTGTCCGCCAGTCAATAATCGACACATTGACTTCTTTTGTCGTGAACTATCATAATGAATAACAGCAAACAAGCGTAAACACCAAACAGATATTTGCAGACCAACAATATCAAGCGAAAGACATTTCACCAAGAAAGACAGTCGGAAGTTAATTTTCGCATTAGGAAACTTTTTAAGGAATATTTGAAGTATAAATGTATGTGTTGTCCATTTTTGTCAAACACTTCAAATGATTCACTTAATTGATTCAAGAAATGTATTTAATGTTAGATAACAGACAAAAGACAGGAAGATTTTGTCCAGCGTATTTCTAATATCTATTTTTTTTATCGTTTTTATTATTTCTGCTATTGTTTTTGCCACTGCTGATAGAAGTTTGATTAAAATGATTAATTCATGCAAAATATCTAGGCATAACCGCTGAATAATATTCTTATATTTCAAATAAAAAGCACTGCTGTATTATGTACTACATTTACAATCTTTTTTCTTCTTTTGCAGGGTCAACTTTTACAGTCTGCTTGGCTAATGAATCACTTTAATGAGCATCTTCAAAGTTAAAGGTCTTTTTCTGCAATGGAAAGAGCGAGAGTAAGAGGAACTCACCTGCCACCGGAGGAATCGAGAAGGAAGCAGACAGTGGTGGAGACTGTGCAACACTCTCTTGCTCTCTCTACTTTACAACCCTTGCACTTTTATCTCTCTCTGTGTTCATTCACTCAAGGCCATATATGGTAAGAGCAGGTGATATGCATACAGGTGTGTCATATCTGTGGTTACAGGCATAAGTCGTTCATCTCGCCCCCCTCCCCAGTAGATATCTTTGAGCAATAGAGCGAAACAATATGTTTATTTACCTCTCCACCCCCAGCCGATCTGGTGTCGCACATACTTATCCTTTGCATTTTGTGTTGTGTTGAAATGATATTGATATTGATACCACTGATATCTCCTTCTGACCACTAAATTTCTGTTCCAGTCAGTTTTTCACACTTGATACAAAATTATGACAAATATATTGACCATAGCAAGAAAAAATTACATGCACTATCTTTCATGATTTTGTGATATTTTCCAGGTATGACATTTAATGGCTTTAAATTGAAAGCTATTTTTAAAATTCCCTTATATTATTTTATTCCCTTTTATATTTTAAATTCCTAGATATTCTATGGAATTCCATATATTTTTCCTGATTTTTTTGCAGGATGCTGTGAAGACCCAAGTGCAGTATGTATTTCTTTGCTTCTGCAGGGGGAATTGTGTTCTGGGAAGAATAAGACATTTTTAAAAATTCATGAGATACACATTCCCTTAAGTTCTGCATACTTTATCTCATATCTGATCTGCTCAGAAACAAATATACACTTAAGGAGAAGGAGAGGCTCAAAAGCCTGAGGTCATATCTAACAATGAGATAATGACGGATTGACAGTTACTTAGATGACATCAGCTTATATGATTTTGAACCTTTAAGGGATGTTTCACCTAAAAATAAAAAATGCTGTCATCATGTTGTTCCAAGATTTCTTATGCAGAACATGAAGATATTTTGTTGAATGTCTTTATTTGAATGTCTTTGTTTTGGTCCCAATTTACCTTTATTGTGTGATTAAAAACAGTTTAACTTAACAAAAATATCCCCTTTTGAGTTCTGCAGAAGAAAGAAAGTCATACAGGTTTGGAACAATGTGTGGGCGAGTAAATGATGGCAGGATTTAAATTTTTAAATGAATTATCCTTATAAACTAGAGACCTTTTGTGTCATGGTATTTTCTGAAAAGCTACAATTCTTCTAACAGAAATCCAGAAAAAAATATTTCTAGAGTCAAAATAACCCTGATTTGAAGCTTAAATTCAAAGAGTGTGAAAATACGCTCTAATCTGGACTGGAATGTACGGTGGCCGAGAGAGCTCAACGCGCTGCAATTTAAGAAAACACATGCAAATTGAAAAAACACCAGCAAATTAAGAAAACATCATCAGTTTGACAACACACGCGCTGCAAATCCTCACAACACATTTTTTCAATTTGCATGTGTTTTCTTAAGTTGCAGCGCGTTGAACTCTCTCGGCCACCGTAGGGAATGCATTACTGGTTAACTCTTTCACTTCTGTGGTATTACATGCAACTAATACAGGTAAAATCTTTGGACACACTTGACTGAACTTATATTTCTCATAATGTTAACACCTGACTTTTGAGTCTTCTGCTGAAATGCTTCAATTTAGTTTTGTGGGCAAATATAAATCACCTATATATGAATTTCTGTACAAAATGAAAGTGTTGGAGCAGATAGTGAAAGAATAGCAGCAAGCATGTGAAGTTCATAAAAAGCAACGCAGCATGGTTGGTTGAGAATCCAGTCAAAGTGTAGTAACTTAAAACTGTAGAAGATACAATAAAAGATAGTTTTGATCTGTTTAACATTTTTTGGCTTCATAATTGCATTTGTGTTTTTATAGTTTTTTATTGTTATTTTTACTATAATAATCAAATGTGGACAATCGTGATAAAAAATAACGAGTAGGTGTGTCCAAACTTTTGACTGGTAGGTAATGTAACTTACTACAAGTCCAAAGACCATGCATAATTACAGAATGAATCGAGTATGCCATGACAAGTGGATAAAAGGTTTAAAAATAAATAGATGCAGGTTATGCTGAATGTTTCCTCTGTTATGAAAAGGTTAAAGCCTCCCTTGGTGAACCTCAGCATACTCCCTCTATGCATTCATGTAGTCTATAGCATCAATGCAGACAATCTTTTCTGAGTTTTTTTGGCAAGTGAAGTAGGTTACGAAACACCCGGGCACCACTGAGCTGGTCAAATCTTTTGAGAGTTAAACAGACCATCAAAAGTGGGTTGGTGATTATTAGTGAGATGTACAGTGGCTCACTGTTAGCCTACTAGTAACCCCTGTTTGTTGTGCTCTGTTTGACCTTTTGCAACCAACAGTAGAGCCTTTGTGAATGACATTGTGAAGGATGCATGGGAAATAGGGAAAACTGAGAACGAAATTTCTTACTCATGATTTACAAGACCCTCCCTTAACCCGCAACACACATTCTACCACAAAATGGTACCACAATAGGGTTTGCACAAGCTCTTGCATTAGATAATGCATGAAGTTTACATAAAATGATTTGAACTCCATCAAAAGTCTCTGAAATTACAGTTTTTACAGTTCAAAGCAATTCTATGCATTGCAGGGAATGTTTGCTACCTTCGTTAGACAGGGTGTTTCTGTCCTTGGCAGCCGAGTGTAAGGCTCCTCTCCTATCTTTTCACTTTCAGACTGTCTCTAGGTGAACTTCAGCCTCCAGAATGTGGCCGCTCCCCTCTCCTTCCTCAAACTCATTAACCAGCCGCTGCTACCCGGGGAGAAAGCAGTGAGCCGCCAGTGCTTCAGTTCTAACTCAGCCCCTTCTCTTACATAATTCAGGGCACACGTTAAGACGGTGGTAGTTCAGCTCCATGAACCAGCTTTTGTGAATGTGCTGCAGAGTGTGTTAGGCCTCAGTGTAGGTTGGGCTTCAGCTATTCTGTGCCAAATCTAAAAAATGCTGCCTTTACAGGTAAACCAAGGTAGGAAGGCATCAAAGCAGGTTCAAATGATTGCATAACATCATGTCTCCAAAGATGCCTTCATCTGGTCTTTATATATA